CACACACACACACACACACACGCAATCAGTTTTATGTCTGTCAGTCCTTGTCCTATTGTCTGTCCTCCCTCTGATTTTTTCTAAGCATTTTTCTGTGTCCCTTAGGTGGTGCCAAACAATTGGTGGTTCCTCGTTTGGAGTGCCAACTGCACTCTTAGGGGGGCCGCTCGGTTCGAAATGTCTGTGTTGCCTATAGGTGATGACGGATGCTCGTCGGAGTGTCTCCCTGGCTCAGTGCGTGGTGGGAACCAACAGTCTGTGGGGTTCACCCGTGATGTCAGTAGGTGATGTGCTGCTTTGCTCCGTGTTGGATGTGTGGACAACCCCATCTGCGCTCCACCACTGCCTTGCTGCCCATTCCGCTTGCGTCACAGGTCGTTCTTGGCAAGCTGCTGTCTTCGCTGTGTGGTGTGGCCGGGTTGTGGTGTTGCCTTGCGCTTCGCTGCTCCGCTGCCTTGCCGCCCTTCCGCTGGTCATGCCTTCCGTGTCCTTTGCTTGCGCGTCCTGTGGTTTGGTTGCAATGTTGGTGTTGCCTTGTGCTCCTCAGCATGGTCGCCGCAGGGTTGCTGCCCGCTGCTATGTTCTGCTGGGGGACAGTCTGCCTTCAACAAGGGTCAAAGGGTGCATGACCCAAACCATCAATACGGGCGTTCCGCAGATTGTCGAGGGTTCAGCCTCCTGATGAGTCGGTGCAACTCCAACGAAACAATTTTTCATCATCAGTTTTATTTTTTAGGTCCTTGTATTTTTTGGACTTGTGTTTTCTCTTGGTGGTTTGTGTGCTTGTGTGCTGCCGTGCCCTGTTGCTTCATGGCTCGCTGGTGTTCTTCTGGTTTCTCTGCCCTGTTCACTCAGTTGTTGCCTATTGCTGGTTGTCTGCCTACCCGCCTCCCCTGTTCCTCCAGCCTTTGTTCTTTGCTGTTGCTGTTGTTTGTCTGTCCTCTGGCTTCACGCTTTCTCTCTCGACCGCCATTCTGAGTGTCTGCCTTGATGTGTTGTTGAAGTCGAGTCCTTTTGTACGTTGGCATGCCAGTCTCAGTCTTGGACTTATGTTTGGCTGCACATAGCCTTGCGATGTGCTGTTTTGGAGAAGGTCATCTGGTGTGAAGCTTTTATGCTGGGGTCTTGTACACACACACACACACAGACACACACACAACCCCAAGGGAGCAGACGGGCATGAAGAACCCCTAGGTATGGCTGCCAATCTGGAGCAATGAGCATAGAGTCCAGGGGTGCAACCTCGATAAACACTACCATTCAACTGCATGCAAATAAGAAATACTGAACACCACCTGAGCTGACTTCACTCCGCCAAGCATCTCCTCCGCTCCTCCAACTTCAGACTAAACTGGAGTTGGAGATAGCCGGTCGCACATAACCTTTGGGGGGGGGGGGGGGGGGGGGGGGGGGGGGGGAGGGGGAACTGAAAAGAAAACCAACGTGTCTCACAACCTTATCCCTACGTAGTCCCCAACACTTCGCGAGAGTTTACCGTCAGTCGCTCCACAGCTCCACCCATCGCGGCCATTCAGATCTTCCGATGGGATCTGCACATGCCGGTGATGCCACGACGAACAAGAGCATGTGCAGTTTATCCTACAACATTTCTGTAAACAGTTCAGATCCCAACGGAAGGTCTGGGTGAGCCCTTAGACATCAGTGGCAATTGGGGGGGGGCATGGCCGATGCCCAGCACAGGACCGGAACAAGGACCATCCCACGCCCATGGTGGGAGTCTACTCATTTGAGTGTCCCATAGGCCCCGGTGCCGAAAGTCGCCAGAGCTTCTCTCGGATCTGAGGCCAAAGACCAGCCCTCTCTGGCTTCTTGCCCCTGTATGCAGACTGCTCTGCATAAAGTTTTGGACAAACCCTTGGCTGAGATGCGAGATGGAGCGCGGAGGGGGAGGAGGAGGAAGGGGGAAGGGAGGGCGGGGGTCAAAAAAGGGGTGAAGGATGGACCTGGTTGGCCACAGTCAATCGATGGATAACTCTGCGATTAAAAAAAATTGACTGTGGACTGTTTGACCGATTGGCAATCAAAAATTACTGAGCTGACTGGTGATTTTATCTGGTTGGATTTCATCTCAACCAATGTAGTCCGCCGTCATTTGATTTGATAATTCGATTTGATTCACCTCAAATGGACTGCTTTATCCGGCGCGAAGCGCCCTTGTTGGGTTGGATCAGATTCGATTGGACTGGGTCATACAAGCTTCGGTTTTTTGGAGTGGATCAGGTTCTATTGGATGGGCTAGGCTGGGCTGAGACTGGGATAGGGAAGGGACGGGAGGCGAGGGGACAGGACAGACCACAACCAGACAGCTCTGTGGCCCTCTTGTTTCTGCAGGTGCAATCCAGGGGACTCTGTTGTTTTGAGTTCATTCATCAGTCTTTGGACAGACGGCGCCTAACAGCACCCCACAGTTTGGCCTTGGGGGTATGCATTCTGCCATCCAGTGCCTACTCCACCGTATTAGCGCAGTAGTCACAAACTTGCCCTACCTTCAGGGTGGTACCCCTCATTGGGACAAACCTGGGCCCCTCTATGCCACAAATGGTTAACAGGTACCCCCACATCATGTTTTTTTTTTTGTTTTGTTTTGTTTTTTTTGCCCTGTTCTGTTTTTGGTCGAGGTTTGTAAGTGCCAAGTTTGGTGTTTGTTGGGTTCCTGGAGATGGTTGTTTTGGGGAGTGGTGAAAATTGTGAAAACCGACAAATTGAAATGTTGGTGAAATTTCATGAAAGTGCACTTTTGGCTTGCTGTTTTATATGTTTTTAATTTTTGTTTTTTTTTTAACAATAAGTTAGTAAGAAGTGCACTCTATAGATTGGTGTGAAATATGGTTAAAATGGCCCTTTGGTTTTCTTATAAATGGGGGTGAAAATTTGGGGGTCGGTTAACCTTCTGTCCCATCACGACAAACCTGGGTGGGACAGCCTTGAGGGAACCCTTAGTTCCAAGGCCACCGAACAGTATTCTACTATTCATTGTTGATGTCTCCGGGAATCCCATGGCCCATTGTGGCCACAACGATTCAATGCGAAGCTGCAAACCCAACCCCATCTGTCCTTCGGGAAAACCGTTCAAATTCGAACGATACAGGGAAAAGATTAGCATGGCTCCTGCTCAAGAATGACATGCATAAATCAAGAAAAAATGGTCCATTTTTTTGTCGGGTTGGTGTCGCTGGTTATCACGCCAGTCCTGCACACTGAAAACTAAACAAACAAACATACAAACAAACAAACAAACAAACAAACAAACAACAAACAAAGAAAAAACACCATCGTTTTCCCGTCCCATTGCAGGTGTGGCGGTACCCGGAATTACCGGAACAGAAGATCGCGTTTGGCAAATGACCATACAATAACATCAGCATTCCGTCCATTCTGCCCGGAGGCAATGAGATCCCCATTGCTCGACATCGCTAGACATGTGACGTCTTCGTCGTGGCCTCGAAGGAAAATCTGTCCAGGTCATCATCCAGCAATCAACAGAACACGAACATACAATCGACAGTTGATTGGCCATTAGGCGCAGCAGAAAGAAACATGGACGGCATCAGGAGATGCCGTCCCACGGTCGCTGCGTCCATGTGTGTGCAGACGGTGCCGCATGTCCTTTCCTGAGTGTGTGTGCCCCTCCCCCATGTGTGTGCACCCTCCCCCTCCACAGTTTATACATCCATTTCACAGCCAGGAACATTATCATGAATGCATTGGTCTTCTCTAATGCCCCGTCCTTCCTTCCTGTTAAACAGCCACCGACAAATTCCATTTGTCAGGAGTGTTTGGTGGGCATGCTTAAAGCACCAGTACACCACACATCGGCCCGCGGGTGTGAGCGCCGAACCGGCACCACTTCGGAGGCTGCAGATTTTTTTAATTACAACGGCGCCCAATGCCGCGCGGCCCCTCCGAGTTTTGCTTCTGGCGATAACGAAAGGGTATAAGCCGCCTCTGCTACAGCCGCTACGAGAGAGGAAGATACAATCCTCGAGAGTCTGCCGGTTCAGTCGGCTTGTGCCACGGGAGACATGACAGTGCCTATACTTGGCTATGGCGGGTGAGGTGATCACCGGGAAATGGTGTCGATCGGGTAACAGGGACGGACTGTAGGAGGACGACCCCAAGTTTTTGGAAAGCGGGAGTTTGGATTTGGGTGGTGTGTATACTAATAAGGTAAGACTGTTTTGTATGGTGTTTTGTGGGTACGTGGGTGCTTCCAAGGAGAACGGAAGGCTGAGTTTGGTGCGCCATGGGTGATACTAATGTCGGGATGATCGGGGTGGACTGTAATCACGAAAAAATGTGTGCTGCAGAAGGGAGCAGGGAAGTTCTAATCGGAGGCTATGTTGAAGCTGGGCAGCGGGAAAAACGAAAGGAAAAAGAAAAAGAAAAAACAAAAAATGAGGGTGAGGTGGTGGGATGACGGTCCCTGCTGTGGCGAGTGATATTGGCAGTGTGCTCGTAGGTTAGAACACTGAGTTTTAGTATTTAAGGGAAGAGAGGGATGGCCTTAACCCTCTCACCAAGCTGGGTTGCTTGTTCAGGATGCTTTTGTTCTCCCTGACGAGTCTGTGGTGTGCGCCCACAGCGAAACGCATCGGAGATCGCGTGCAAGTGCTTAATCGAATTCTCTGTTGTTTTTCAGTTGTATCTTGAAGGAATTGTCTGGTATCTGATCGTACTTTGTATGACCTTCCAGCACGAAGAGCAGTGTGGCCGCTGGTTTCTCCTGAGAACTCTCTCTCTCTCTCTCTCTCTCTCTCTCTCTCTCTCTCTCTCTCTCTCTCTCTCTCTCTCTCTCT